CATTTTAATGTTTAATTAACTTCCTGGAGACCATTTAGAATGCACAGAACACAAGTTTACAGGAGAGGAATAGACTAAAACTTGCCTTAAGATTCCGGTTTGAAGCCTTCATCGCCTTTGCTAAATTCTGCAACGAACTGTAGACTACCTGCAACTCTCCCACTGTTCCAGTTTTATTCCACAAGCCATCGACTCTTTCTTCCTTGATCCCACCTTCAATCCATGGCTGCAATCCTAATTGATTCTCTCAATTTCTCTCTGTTTTCCCTCTTAAGAAACCTCTCTGTTTTTCCTCTCATAAACCCTTACGTGAATTGAGTTTTAATTTCCTCACCCTAGCAGACGTATAAGATTTATATATATACGTCCCAACCTTAAGTCAAATTATATAACCGTATAATTATAAGATTTACGTAAAACCTAATTTATGTCGGCAACTACATGAAAATAAAACCCTAAATCTAAACTATAAATACAACACACCTAAATTATATAAGCTACCAAAAATTACACGTCAATTAAGTCACTATTAATCAAAACTTTAAATTAACCAATAATTAAACTAAAAACAATTACAATGAATTTAAACAAACACAATTATCAATTAAGCAAATAAAAACCATTAAACACATAGCCAGATAAATCATATTTAAATGCATATAAATCAACTAATCAATAAAATGCACATAAAATCAATAAAGAAATTCCAGTTATATCCTTTTAAAAATTAGGGGTATTACATTAAGGGAGCCTGCTCCCCTCCAACGAAAGCCGGCTCTCCTTCTGTTCCTTCCTCTCTTTTAGGTCTGGCGATTTTCCGACGAACTGTCCTCCACTCCTAAGGTACCTAGGTGTTTAAACTAAATTCCAGTGTGATCAAGAGGCAATAAAATTCTTTATTTGTTCACCTACATCCATCGAAACACGAATTTTGTAACAAGAACTTAGAACGAGCAATTACTCATCATGAACACTCACCGTTTAAAACATTCAACTCTGTAATCCAGATTACTTCTAGTGTTTTCCCACGTGTTTTAGACTAATTAAAACCTATTTACATCAATTTACATGAATTCAATTATGTGTTACACAAGAAAACATTTAAAACGAGCAGTACACAACTTACGAATACAATCAGTTTTAAAACAACAAAGACATGAAAATTCAGTTTAATTTTAATCCTTATTGTTTTCCTGGAGTTGTATTAGACATGCAAAGAACACGAGCCAAAGGAAGAGAGTTAGGATTAAAACTTGCCTTTAGGTCTCAGTCTGAAACCTTGCACCGTCGTCTTCCTAAATACTCCGGCGAACTACTGTAATCCCTCCTCTGTTCTCTCTCTGCTTCCACAGACGTGAATAAGGTTCTAAAACCCTAGGCAGAACCTTAACACGTATATTTATAGGTTTACATAAAACCTAAGTTCAATTCAAACCCTACATTGAATCCTAGTCGGCCTATAGAAAACCTAATTTATAATCTACGTCGGCTACCAATATGTGGCTTCTAAAACAAAACCCTAAATTAAACGTTAACCAATCCCTATGTAAATCAATTAACGCATTAAAAGAAATAAAATACAAAAAATACAATTAAATAAAAAAAGTCATTTAAATAACATAATTCAAATAATTCACAATTAAGTCAAATATCGAACAAATAAACAATTTAAATTACAAAAAATGCAATTAAATAATTAACCAAAATACCAGGACTATCCTTGAACTATCTTTTTAAAATTAGGGGTATTACAGCCAAACATAAACTTTGTGCCTATTACTTGAAGAATACTTGAAGAAGACAACATATATTAAGAAAGATGAAGACTTTGTCATGGTTTTCCATAGACAATTATTTAGTATACGGTGGGTGAAATTTTTTGTTTTTTTGGGAAAACAGTTGAAAGTTTATTAATGGAAGAAGCTTAGATTTTTGCAAGAATTTTGGGCGGGGAATGTTTCAAGCATGAATTTAGGAGATGGTTGAAATTGAGATTTTAAATGCGGCAGCAATTACTGCCATTCGAGAATTCTGAAGAATAAGTTATGAAGTGATCATTTGATCATCTTTCTTCTCGATGAGATTGCTCCAAAATCGATTCTCTTAACATGGGTTTGTTTAAAGAAATGGAATTCCATATCTATTGTTGTTTTCTGATTACTCGTTTGTCAGGCTAATATTTCAGTTCACCACCTATTTGATACTTTGCCTCAGTATACATAATCCCCCTCTATTTCCATAATTCATGATGACTATTATTAATATATCATCATATAATTCTAATAATATCATTTTATTTTAGCACATATTGCACTGCACTTGGTGTTATTTATGTTTGTGGACAAATTACAAGATGTGTAAAGATATAGTAATAATTTAAAGAGGAGAACCAAATAAAATCCTGAGAATTCGGAGCGTAATCTAAGCTCACTCCCTGAGAACTCGATGAATGCAGATATAAAGAGTACTTCGGCAAGCATTCCACCCTATGAGGAGACACTTAATATAGACTCTGATTGTTCTTCCACTTGCGTTTCAAGGAGTGATATTGATAGCTAGTAAACGAGCACCTTGAAAGAGCCTCAAAAGAGGAACTTGTTAATTCTTTACTTGTTTTCTAGAATAAGAGTTCACGAAAAGCTCAAAGCTCACCCGATGAGGCAATGACGATAGAGAATGGTTGTTCTTCTTCTAGCGTTTCACCAGAGTCCGGGAACACCAGCTAATATATGAACAACATTTGGTAATAGAAAGAATGTGTCACTTTTTCCCTGTATTTTAAATTTGTAAGGTATAAATATAGATGTATAACTAATGAGATTGTGAATTTATTCGGCAGTTCCTGTTTCATAGATAAAACCAATTCTTAATTCCCCTTTCAAAGTCCCATTGTGATGAGTGGGTTCAAATATGTAAACCATTTAACAGCTCTTAAATATTAATTATTGTTACAAATAAATTCTTTGCTTTTTCGTCATTGGAAATTTGTTCTCAGGATTTTGGGTTGGACATAGCATATGTTTTGTTCTCTTTAATCTTAGTTTGTCAGAAAAGAAGTTTTATGCCTTTTTTGCACATTAAGGAATCACAATTTTCAATAGTGGAGCAATAAGAAGATTGTAATTTTCTCTATAAATGATGGTCGAAGCTAAAATTGATGTTTCCCTTCTCAACCCTCCCTCATGGAGAAAAAAAGTATATATATATATATATATATATTTGGATTTCTAGATTACCAACAGACACATTTTTAAAACCTTATAACAATTAAAGTATGCACACACCCAAAACAAAGACTGAGATTTTTTAATACAAAAGGTTAAGATAATTTGTACAAATGTATTTGAATTATTTTTGAAGTAGTGTATGCAATTAATATGTTCGCTACGAATATATTGGGATGTTATTTATAACTTATGAATGAAACTATTTAAGCAAAGGTTGTGCTGATTTATACAAATGTATTTGAATTATTTTTGAAGTAGTGTATGCAACTGCTATGTTCGGTATAAATATATTGGGATGTTATTTATAACTTATGAATGAAACTATTTAAGTAGTGATTGTGATGATTTGTACAAATTTATTTGAATTATTTTTGACGTAGTGTGTGCAACTACTATGTTTGGTATAAATATATTGGGATGCTATCTATAACTTATGAATGAAACTATTTAAGCAAAGGTTGGGCTGATTTACACAAATGTATTTGAATTATTTTTGAAGTAATGTATTTAACTGCTATATTCGGTACGAATATATTGGGATGTTATTTATAACTTATAAATAAAACTATTTAAGTAAAGGTTGGGCTGATTTGTACAAATATACTTGAATTAATTTTGAAGTAGTGTATGCAACTGTTATGTTTGGTTCAAATATATTGGGATGTTATTTATAACTTATGAATGAAACTATTTAAATAAAGGTTGGGATGATTTTTATAAATGTATTTGAATTATTTTTGAAGTAGTGTATGTAACTGCTATGTTTCGTACCAATATATTGGGATATTATTTATAACTTTTGAATAAAACTATTTAAGTAAAGGTTGGGATGATTTGTACAAATATATTTGCAAAAAGATACAAGTTCTAGAAAAATTGGAACAACGTTTAGATAACATGCACTTGAATTATTTGTTAAGTCGTATTTAGATAACACTTAAATTATTTTTGTAGTGTGGATGCAACTACTCTGTTCGATATGAATTTATTGGGATGTTATGTATAACTTAGGCATGCAACTATGAAATTATAGGTTTGGATGGTTTCTACAAATAAATTTGTATCAGCCTGTTTAAGTTCAAAAAGTTATGTTGTAAAACAATTTTACTTGAATTGATGAGTTGACTTAAAAGGAATCATTAAAATCAAGAGCAATAAACGGTATTATATGCCAAATGTATTGTGTTAATACGTCAATGCATTGCCTCATTTTAAATAGGTCAGTCACCTGCATTTGATCATCGAAAGAAAATATCTAAATTCAATAGTCGGTCAACTATTACATTTCCAAATATACTAAAATATACTCCCTCTGTCCCAAAAAAATGTCACAATTTCCTTTTTAGTCTGTCCCAAAATACTTGTCACTTACCTTTTTCAAACAATATATTTTACATCTTTCCATTTATGTCATTTCAGTTTAAAATTTCAAACTTCAATATTCAAAACTTAAAAAGGAAAAGTAATTACTTTCCAATGAGACAATGCATGTCCCGTATGTCACTTTAAAAATTTCAACTCCCCAAAAGTAACAACTAAACTGGGACGGAGGGAGTACATACCATATAAAACAACTCGCGCAGATTATGTCATCACAATATTGTTCTCAGCTACCTCGGTTTCATCGTTCAGAGGTTGCTTTGCTAGATTTTTTATTTTATTATTATTATTTTTTCATCTCCAATTTGTGATAAGATAATATAAGGCAAAATTTTGTTTGTATCACTGAACTATAATGTAGTGAAGTAATGTTACTTGGTTTGATGATTACAGGTTTACAATAAATGTTGGTCCTGTTTCAAGCATAGTTATTTCAAATAAATTGAATAATGTAAAGATCTTGGAGGTATTGCAGTTATATCTTTCCAAAAGATGTTATCCTCATTGTTTGTCATCCTTATATCAATTAATGCGGTGCTTTTCTGCTTAGTAGATTTTTCCAAATTTGGATGCTTGCACTGCTTTTGCATTTGTGTTTAATGGTGATACCACTCAGAAATATGTTGGTCCTAGAAGTCTGATGCAAGAAACACAAGTGAGTTCTTTTATCCCTTTGTTGCGTTCTCTTGTTTGTCTTTCTAGGAGTTCGTTAAGAGTTATCTTTTTGGCCTGGTTTTCTTTGCCCCGCTGTTAAAAGATATTGTTGCTTGGGCTGCAAGAAGACCAAGCTGTTTGACATGTGTAGTGGGTTTGAGTAGGGGCTGATCGAGCTTTTTTTGTTATACTAATAAACCAAGCTCAAGCCACATGTTCAAACTTATTTGATAAGAAAGTGAACGCAAGGAGAAAACAGGTTGGCTCATCAACAAGGGGGCATATATATACTTCAAAACACATAAAATATTTTTCAGAAAATGTTTTACGCTCAAACAAACGGAGCCTAAATCAAATTCTTAATGAACCAAGTACAAGCTTGAACTTGAGCTTGGCCTTCACTTGTTAGGTAAACCACTCAATCTCAAGCTATATGTGGAGCTGAGTTCAAACATTTTTGGCTGAACTCACTTCAAGTTTGAGTTGTGCTTGAATTTTACTAGATTCTGTTTACCCTACTACTCAGCTAGGATTTGTGCGATGTTATCTGACATTATTTCTTGTAGGCAATAGATTCTTTGGGTTTCTATTGCATTTTGTCTGGACAGCAGAATAAATTTAATGAGGTACTTTGTAACTGTGGATTACTACTTGCTAGGTGTTCCTGAGCGTTGTAACATATAAGAGTTCAGTGTTATTTATTTATTTATTTTCTTAACCTTTTCATTATTAGATGCACTTCTTATTTTGGTACTGTTTGTGCAGATAACCGGTTCACTTTTAGGCAATTTGCTTGATGTGGTTGAGGAGGTACAACTAGCACAATTGGAACTCCAAAATCTGATCCAGACAAGTTTTAATTCTTCATCTGGTAACGTAACTCCTCTTTATATGATTGCCTTTTTGGTCTACAGATGAAGCACTCATTTTAAATTTTTTAATGTTTGGTTCTAATCTGTGTCAGCCACAATTGAGATAATCGTTTACTGGTGCTAGACTGGGATATGATACCCTCCATAGAAGATCCATGCTATATGAGGAGATGTTTGTTTTTATTCAAATAAACCTGTCATGCATCTGCTTAAAATTTGAATTTGTTGTTACAGACTTGCAGTCATGTTTGACCTGGATAGTTCTTAAGCATATCATAATTATCTACTTTCATGTATGCATTATAAACAATGTTTCACTTACCAGGTCATGTAGTAGTGACCTTTAGCTGAAATCTCTCTCACGATAAAAATGGCCTAGCCTTGCATGTGTAATTACTAGTTCCATCAAATTTTCTGATGTTTTTAGAATAAACTAAATTCTCTAGTATATATTTATGATCATTCATCTTTTAATGGAACCGTAGGACTTTACCTGACAATTCAGTTTGAGTCTAATTCATTCTGAAAAAGGAAAAGTCTAAAAACCCCGACACTGGTAACCGACATAGAGAGAGTGGGGTGTGGAGTGGTGGGCCCAACACGCACCCCTCTCTATATGTTGGTGTCGCAAAGTCGGGAAGTGCAGCATTGTTCTTCTCAAAAGCATTAATAATTCGATTTTCATTCATTCTATAATTTGTGAATTATGATCACTCTTTTGCATCATAGAAATCAAATTCTACCCTATTTTTCTTTGATAATTTCTAGCTATAATTGAGGATCATTTTTTCAAATGTACATGGATGTGTATGATTAAATGACTTCCATGGTTTCTTAATTTGCAGTTGAGCAACTTGATTTGCAGCTCTGTTTCATCAATTTTCATAGTGGCAGGAAGGCTATGCTGATTCTTGACATGTCATGTTTGAATCGGTATAATTCTTTTCTTTTCTTTTTTTTATTCCATTTTTTTTTACCGAGTCTAGATGCCTAAGTAGGGACATAATCTGCATCATTGTGTTATGCCTAGATCATCAACCCTAGATTATATTCAAATGTTTTGGGCTAACCCTTAATTTCAGTCTTATCCATTCTCCTCCATGACCAAATTTAAGTTCAAGATCATGTTAAAGGAAGCCTGAAAATTGCAACTTTCTACATAAAGTTATCAAAGATTGTACCAAGTAGAACTTTTCCATATGGAGGTTTAGTTGCAAATTGCTTTCATGGCAGGGAAAGGATAGGTTTTTGAACTCATAACAATCTAACAACAAGGTGAGTAAACAATCTGATGACTGCAATTTCATGCTGATTATGATTTACTAGCATCTCTTTCTGTCATTTGTCAGCCTATCGAATTAAAGTATGGGCTCATACTAGCAATGGATGATACCAAAAACCTGGATGAGATGATACCTCAAAAAATAAAATATTGAAGATGAAATTGTAGAACAGGGATGGAAAGCAAGCATAGTGAGGTTAACACCAAGAGGTGAAGAGAGATTCCTCTAAGGACTTAAACAGTTGAAGCCACTCCATAGTCAGGGATCATATGGCTACCCTACAAAAAACTTAAAACCACTTCAACCTCTCCCACTCCCTAATTAGCTCATACGATATCCCAAGAGAGTATTACCCCATTTTAACATTGTTTAGCTTCTCCCAACTTTCATCTAATCCCCAAATTTTCAGACCTAATACTTGTGTCCAAATAATCAACCAAAGCTTTGTTTGGACAGACGCTCAATTTTTATACCCCGCAGGTTGATCTGATGCTACTATTTTCCCCCAGCAAGTGATCAATTTTCTTCCATTGCGACACTCTGTTCACAGTTTTCTATTGAATTCCTGATAAAGGACATAAAAGAAATTGCTTCTACATAAATTCTCAATTGGAATGGTACTTGAGTTCCAACTCTAAACATTCACACTCCGAGAAAGCATATATATATATTTTTTGATAAGCCCGAGAAAGCATATATTTTTAACAAGACATTTGCATGAAATGGGTCAAGAAGGAAAGTTCAATCTCAAATTTAGCTAACATATCCCTAACAGATAAAAAAAGAAACTATAGCATAGGGCACGTGTAGATTTACCAACAAAATAAATCATTTGGTCATAATCTAAAAAAGCTTTCTTCCTAAATCAGGTTCAGCATATATATTTAACATGCGTAACTCTGTAACAATATGATCTACCTACAGCCTTAGTCAAACAACTCTGTGATTTTAAAATTTTGTTACAGGTAGCTCAATGGAGTGTGCAACAGATAGAAGTAACCAAGTAAAATTTGTTACAGGTAGCTCAATGGAGCGTGCAACAGATAGAAGTAACCAAGTAAAAGTAGATAATCCATAGCATAACAGATTCGCAATACAAAACAAAAACTACAAGAATTAATTAACAAAAACTAAACAATAATTGATGTTTCTCTTCTATAATTAACTAATTTTTAACTATGTAATGCTTGACAAAATATTATTACACTCATAATCAGAGAAGTACAGTCACTCCTCCATACACTTTTGAGGGCAACTAGGAAGGAAAGAAAGCAAAGAACTTTCCACAATTCTGAACCCTCAGTGGTGATCAACCCAGGAGAATTAGGTACCCTATTGTGGCATTTTGCAATGCAAATGAACTTCACCAGAATCTCTGATGAAACATTTTTATCACTCCTTTTCCAGGAGCACTTTACATCCCACCCAAAAGCTTAACCTGTTAGGCGGAGCTGCCTAAACACCATTATAAGTCCAAGACCCACCCTATCTAGATCCACTGTGGGACAAGAACCTCTGTCTATATCTATATCCCTATACTGCATATCCTTTTATTAACAAAAGCTAAGATAAACAAGTAATGAACAACATATCACATATGAATGAATTAACACTTTATGCTTAAAACGGCGTTAATTCACATGAACAATTAGAAGGAAAATCTTAAACTGATGAGAAAACAGTTGAATAAAGGAGTCGAAACATGCCATAGAACCTCAATCTTAGAAATTAGTGCTAAAATTATCTTTACGTGAGACACCCCTTTGTTCGCAAACCGCAAACTATCCAGACAACAATCATAAAAAAATACCATAAGCAGATACCTTTTGTCCACATCAAAACTTGAAATTGCATCAAAAGCAAGCTCTTGATGAATTGTTAGGCTAAAATGTATGTGTAAAATAGTAACTAGTACTAGTGCAATTGTTATGTATACCACCTACAAGCTGCTAAGTAAACCACTTGATGAGTTAGTGATCTCACATGACATTCAACAAGCTGCAGAATTAATAGGAATACAACAAAATTTAATACTATTACATTAATGAATCAAAAAACCAAAATAAGAAAATTAAATAAACTAAATTGAAATTAGAAATAATGATGTTAGGTATACCTTTTATGCGCCCCTCCTATTGTCATCTTAGTTGTTTTAGCTTACGTTTCAGCTACTCTATCATATGTTGCCGCATTACTGGAAAATATTTTAATACTATTACATTGATGAATAAAATAGCAAAATAGAATAAAATAAATAAATAAATTAAAATAAAGAATGTAAAATTAAAAACCTTGAACCACAGGTGCTAAGTTAGTTTTCCTTCCCAAGACAAAAGCCCTCCAATATTTTTGATGCCTCCAACAGAGTTAACAGAGTTACATAAAACCGGTAAGTTCCAACACTGAGAGTCAGTAAACAGTGATCCCCCCCTTCTTGCTCTCGTAATTCTTCCTTTTCTCAGTCTTCTCCCTCTTCTCCTTCTTGTGGGTTGAGGAGGAAGGCAGTGGGGAATGAATTTGCTGGTTTGTCACGGAGGCTTTCACCAGTGGCTGAGGTGGGAAATGAGACTGTTGTTACGGCTGATATGGGGTGTGAGTCTTTTGGACCGTTAGAAAGGGATGGGACGGTCGGTTTGTTTGAGGATCGGGATTCGGATCGTGTCTGTGAAGCGCCGAACGATTCTTGCTCAGAATTTTTCTCTTCTTCTCATCAGAGGGTTATGTCTGACTGTAACATGGGGGGTTTGGTCAAGCCTCAGCTGGAATTGTGTCTTCCTAAAGGGGCTGAATTGGTGCCATCACAATCAGTTTGCGAGCCTGACATGATGACTGTTTGCGTGGGAAAGGATATCCGTATTGTTCTTAATGAGGAATCAGCCTCTCTGCTAGTGAAGGAGCTACAGAAACATAGACACCTGAATGATGTGCCTTCGTGTGATTCAGCATCCTTTTCTCATGAGAGTGGGGTGGATAGTGGTGTTGAATGGAAGACCTATGCGGATATGATTGTGGAGGGTAAAAAAGGGGAGGCTGATAGGAATTAGGAGGATCAGAATCGGTCCTTGGATATGGTGTTGTGGGAGGAGGAGAGCCTTTCGGATTTGGGAATGGTTAACCCTCTGGCAGTTGTTCATCCGGAGGCCACTGATCTTGTTAGGGATGAGTGTGATGATCTTGGCAAGGACTGGGTTTTGAATAACATTGGGACCACGAGTGAATTGCTGGGTGTCTCTTGCAAAGGCAACCGGGAGAAGGCTTTAGCTATTCTTCAAGCTACGGCGGAGGGGAAAGAAGGGAAGATGATTCAGTTTTCTAGGAGGAGGAGAAAGAAGACTGAACCCTCTTGGAAAGGGGAGAGGGAGCTGCGTAATCTTTGTTGTGATGTGAATTTTGATAGGGGTCTTGTGGGGGAGAAGGTGAAATGGGGTATTAAGAAGGGAGGGAGGGGTAAGGGGGTGGAGGGCGCGATTTTATTCCATGAAGCTATGACTACTATCCTGGAATGTCTATGGCCTCAATGACCCGGGCAAGAGAAAGGTGGTGAAGATGGCGGTGAGAAAATGGGGGGTTCATTTGGTGTGTCTCCAAGAAACGAAGATGGATTCTATGACTGATAGAGTTGTCAAGAGCCTTTAGGGAAGTAGATTCGTTGAGTGGGAGACGCTTGATGCAGTTGGGACTTCTAGAGGTATTCTTTTGATGTGGGATAGGAGATGGATGGATAAGGTGGATGTGTGTAGGGGGCGGTTCTCTTTGTCCTGTGCCTTTGTGTTGGAAAAGGATGGCTTTCCTTGGGCTTTTTCAAGTGTCTACGGGCTGGTAGATGATTGTGAGAGGCCTATGCTGTGGGAGGAGCTTAGTACGGTTCAGGAGATGTGGTATCTTCCTTGGTGTGTGGCAGGTGACTTTAATGTGATTATATCCCCGATGGAGAGGTCTACAGGTGGGTCATGGACTCCGGCTATGAGGCTTTTCTCAGAGTTCATTAATGATCATCATCTTATTGATCTCCCTTTAGAGGAAGCTTCTTTTATTTGGTCTTGTGGTAGGGAGATGCCTACTTTTTCTCGTTTGGATAGATTCTTGATCTCCGGCAAGTGGGACGAGCAGTTTCCGGATACAGTTCAGGCTGCGTTGGCTAGGGTGACGTCAGATCACATTCCTTTGGTTTTGGATTGTGGGGGTTTGAGCCTTCGTCACACTCCGTTCAGATTTGAAAATATGTGGCTTAGAGTGGCGAATTTTCAGGATTTGGTGCGGACTTGGTAGGAGGAGGTCATGGTGGTGGGTACTTCGAGTTTTATCCTTGCAGGAAAGCTTCGTATTCTAAAGGATAAAATTAAAATTTGGAATAAGGAGGTGTTTGGCAACCTAGAGTGGAGGAAGAATAGGGCCCTCGCTGATATTGCAGAGTTTGATCGATTGGATGCGACGAGAGGTCTTGACGACTCTCAACGGTCTAGGAGAGCAGCTTGTCAGGCTGAATGTGCTGAGATTGCGGTGATGGAGGAGATCTCGTGGAGGCAGAAATCTCGGGCTTTGTGGCTCAAAGAAGGTGACCGCAACACTAAGTTTTTTCATCGAACGGCCAATGCTCATAGGAGGGGCAATTATATTGGTCAGATTCGGGTGGATGGTTCGGTGTTGAATTGCGATGAAGAGGTGCAAATGGGAATTGTTTCTTTTTATCAGAGGTTATATACTGAGCCTCTCCGCTAGAGGCCAAGACTTGATGGTCTTCACTTTG